GTTACCCAAGCAGCAGCTCCACCGGAAGATGTTGCGTCCTCGGTGCCAGGCAGCAGAGTGCTGCCTCCAGCTCAGCTGGCCTGAATCTTAAAATGGCCACTCAGCAGAGCTGGGTCGCACCTGCCAGTTGCCTCTTCAGGCTCTTACGGTGGCAGACACCAGAGATGCTCTGCCACCCCCCACCCCCCTTAGAATAGTTCCTGGGGGCAGTTCCCCTGCTGCCCGGCCAAAACAGGCTCCCCCCAGAGCTTGTGAAAGCCCTTGAGTGGCGAGTATCCACCACACACACCCACTAGTGTGAACACCTTGTGCTTCATCTTAACCCACTTGCTCCCTAACCAAAATAATCCTGGTTTAAGCTGAAATGCAAGGATCTGTACAGCCATTGCACAAAGCCAGCCGCATCGCTGGGACAGGACTGGGCCCCAGCTGCCCTCAAGTGCTTACTGCAACTCTCACTATTCGCTGCATTTGATGCTCTTTTAGCAAGACTGTGAGAGCCAGTGAAGCACCCTGAGCATAGAAAAGAGTTTCTTCAGAGGGATCATGGGCTTGACTGACAAACAGCCCCAAACATGAGGTTCCATGGGAGAGGTCATAAAAATCATATAAAGAAATCTTGTCCCTAGATGGAGTCCTTCCAGCTGGCTACCTGCTCCCTCCCCACATGAGCCAAAGACTCTATGGATGAAATGGAAATCATACGGTTGACTTTGATCAACACAGTAGTGTCAAAGCACACCCAGTTCTGTTTCATATGATTAAACAGACAATGGGAGAGGAAACCTCTGGCGAATCTCTCCGGTTCCACACAAACACTTCTCCGAGCCCTGAGCTCAATGCTGATGTCCTGGTCGTACAAAGAGCCAAGTGCCTCCGCTGCAGAGTTGCCCTGACACTGCGGTAGTGAGGGGCAAAGGGCCCCATTTCAGTCCTTCCCCTCCCAGCAGTGAGGCCGGGCTGGGCTGAGCACAGAGCCAGGCCATGACACTCGTCCCCTAAGGAAGGAGGGGAGATGGTCCTGTGTAGAGGGGGGCTCTGAGGTGTGGGGTCCTGCCCAGGGAGACCTCAGGGTGCTTGCAGGGCCGGGCTGCTGAGGGCTCCCTCTCTGCACCCTGGCCCCTGGCATGAGGCCGAAATCGGGTCCTTCTTCCCGGTCCCTTTTTCAGAGCTAATCTTTACACAGTCAGAGCAGTACACAGTCAAGCGTTAGGGTATCATCCCCAACCGTTATTTACTAACGAAAAACGTTCAATAACATCAGGTGGCGTCAGGTGCAGAGCCTTGATTCCGGAGCTGAGGTCAGGCTGGGGCCAAAGCCTTCCCCGGCCACCCCAAGCCGGAGGAAGCGGCACTCATGAAGGGACCAGCTTCAAGTTCAGCCCGTCCCGGGGGGCGGGCGCGAGGGCCGCGCTGGACGGGGCGGGAGGGGACGAGGCAGCTGCAGCGGCGGCGCCTGGCTCGGCCCCAGCGGCTCTTCCTACCCCCTCCCCGCGCCCCGGGCTCCCTCCGAGGCTTAGTCACTCGCACGAGCCTTTGTTCTGCTTTCGCCCCCATTGGCTGCGCCCCGGCCGCCGCCCGGCGGGGGTGGGGGCCGCGCCGCATATAGAGCCCCGGGCGGCCAGGCTGGCGGACAGACCGCGCTGCGGGCACACAGCGAGCCGAGCCGAGCCGCCTCTCCTCTCCTCTCGTCTGCTCTCGACATGGCCTCCGCCGCGCTGGAGATCGTGGGCATGGGGCTCAGCATCCTGGGCTGGGTGGGCGTGCTCGTGACCTGCGGGCTGCCCATGTGGCAGGTGTCCGCCTTCATCGAGGCCAACATCGTGGTGGCGCAGAACCTGTGGGAAGGGCTGTGGATGACGTGCGCGGTGCAGAGCACGGGGCAGATGCAGTGCAAGGCGTTCGACTCCATCCTGGCGCTGAGCCCCGAGGTGCAGGCGGGCCGGGCCATCACCGTGCTCGTGGCGCTGCTGGGGCTGGTGGCGCTCATGGTGACCGTGATAGGCGCGCAGTGCACCAACTGCCTGCGGCCGGGCCGCGCCAAGTCCTACATCGCCTTGGCCGGCGGGGCCATCTACGTCCTGTGCGGCGTCCTGGTGCTCATCCCCATCTGCTGGTTCGCCCACATCACCATCACCGACTTCTACGACCCCACCGTGCCGCGCTTCAAGAAGCGCGAGATGGGCGCCTCGCTCTACATCGGCTGGGCGGCCACGGCGCTGCTGCTCGTGGGCGGCGGCCTCATCTGCTGCGGCGCCCGCGGGCACAAGGACGAGGACGCCTTCCCCGTCAAGTACTCGGCCCCGCGGCGGCCCACGTCCAACGGCGAGTACGACAAGAAGAACTACGTGTGAGCGCCGGCGGGGCCGCAGGTACCGAGCACCGCCGCCTCCCCCGACCCCCGCGGGGCTCCCGCGCTCGGGCTGGACTGGGAGGCTGCGGCCCGCGGGCCTCGGGACCAGGCGCTCAGATGTCCCCGGACTGTCCCCGCCTCGCTCCGAGCCCCCCGCCCCGAGCGGCAGCTCGAC